AAACGTTTCTAAAACAATTTGACATAAAAACAAATTTTCTGAAATATCATGGTCTTATTTGCTCCGTTAAACAATATCTTCAAAAGATCAATACAGATTTAAAAACAATACAACGCAAACCAAACCCTGTTCTACCCCGATATATGCAACATCTCTGTAAGAATGTAAAAGGGACGCAATACTTGTACAAAACTCTAATTTCAGGTCTAGGTTTAAAAAACCGACATGCATCGAAATGGGAACTTAACATTTTATACGACATTATATCTAATGATTGGCCACTTTACAATACTATTCCCTTTAGATGTACGAAAGATACTTGATTACAATGGTTCCAATACAGACTTTTACACCATATCTTGCCAACAAACATTTTTTTAGAAAAGATAGGATATAAAGACACTAATAATTGTAGTTTTTGCTCCGAAGATATAGAAAGAACTATCCACTTATTCTGGTCTTGCAGCAAGGTAAACCATATATGGAAAAAACTTGAGAACTGGCTACATGCTAAAGCACAAATAAAACTCAAAATTGAAAAGAAACATGTAATGCTTGGTTACCCAAATAAAAACAATGAACCAATAAATATCATCTTAATTCTCTTCAAGGAACTAATTTTTCGAAATAAGTTTAACAACATTATGCCATCTTTTCAAGTTTTTTCAACATAAACTGTTTGAATATTATATGTTAACAAAGTGTTCGTCAATAATTAGTTGTAATATCAATGCTTTCTACACGTTCTGGTCGTCATGCCATGATTTATTCTGCTAAAACTATTTGATTTTTCATCATGTATACTGGAATATCACTGTTATTTGTTTGTATAAAATATTGAAAAATGCAACAAAATAAAAACCTAAAAAAAAAAAAGAATAAACAAGGCGTGAGGAGGCATCCTCTATAATGTCTGTAGAATGTCTCAGTGGTCTTGAATAACACGCGGTCTGTATTTAGAATCCCCCCACCAAATCAGCGCACGTGAAATCAAACATATTTGTATCTTTTTGTTTCAGAACATTGTTCACTTCACGGCTGTCGTTATTCTTAACCATGACGTTGCAATATTGTACAAATGTGTCACACCGACTCGCTCGGTTGTGTTCCCATGACGACAGTGGTCAGACTGGCCTGGCATTTGTAAGGCTTCAGTGCAGTGTTTGTTTACATCACAGAAATATACAAATTCATTTCATGGGGGATTTTAGGGGACGCTCACGGTGAAATGCTCGCTCTTATTTTTCACATAGAATAAGAAAGCCACCATTTTGGTTTCTCTACGATTGATTTTAGCTATCCTAAGTTGGTCATGAGCAACTTAGACTTTGAATCTTAACTTTACGATTGACTTGGGTAAGATTGGTTAGTGGAACGGTATGCCGATCGTAACGTCACGCTAAGATTGGGATTTTAGGCGTTTACGATTGGCGTAGGGCTAAGATCGGTTAGTGGAACGCCACCCAGGAAACAAATTTGGACGTAACGCTGGATGTTGGGGCCGGACGGTATGCTCCCTACACAAGTGTTGAATAGTTCTACTACTAATTGGTCTCATCCCAGGCATGTTAATGTTTAGTATCGATTCCGGAGAGGCACCCATAGCGTGTAGACGTTGATTGTTCCAAGATGTTACACTACCGTAATTTACGGTTAAACAGACAATGTTCATATTTTAATTAAAAACAAGTGTGTATCATGCTCCCAACAGACACAAACATCTAAATTGTTCATGAGCAAGCACGTACAAATTGTGAATTACAACGTATATTTTCCTAAATGAGTATGGAAAGATGTATCATTCAATTTCAGAAATTATCTGTTTTACTGAACTTCATGTGAAGAAGTACAGTTACTACTTTTATACGTTTTCTTAATGCATATTTTTTGTTAGCCAAACATCAACTATAGTACTGTCGGAAATGCTAGAAAAATGCTTTTTGACTTATATTTAAAATTCAGAGGTATTACAGTTACTTAAATACCAAAAACTTAGAAAAATAAGGGGTAGTTGGACGTTATTTGAAACAAACATTCTGCCAGTGTTACTTCATCAGCAGGCACGGTATCGACAGGTGAAGTTGACACCTGAGCACACGCTCGGGGCGAGGGGTCATCTCAATAGATGTTTTCTGCAAAATGTTGAATATGTGTACTTATAGTATACGTATCAGTTATGTAAGGGATCATTTGTGTATGTGTGTCTGTTTTGAAATAAACATACGAATTACTGTACATTGGAAAGAATCCTATCACTTGTGTTATCTTATCGACTGCTTGTAGAAATGTGCAACGTTTTAATAAATGTTTTGCATGTCAACAGTATATTTCATTGAAAAAATATGGATGTAATTCGGTCAGTTTAATCTAGTTGTGAACATTGGCCAAAGATTTAACGAAGTCACTGGTGTAGCATCTTTAGAATATATATATTTTTCTTCTCATAAAGTTTGTAGACCGCCCGTCTAAGCACTCCCTTGTCAAAGTTGTCAAGGATGGTTTTACGTCCCGGTTTTGCATTTGAGACGGTCCCTGTCTTGTCTGATTTGTTTACAATATTGTAAACTTGTTGGTAAGACATGCCAACAGCTCTACGAGTTCTGTAATAAACCCTTTCTAAACTAATGAAAGGTTTACCTCTGTCTTTTTTAAGCAGAAAAAACTATAAACCTTTGCAACAATCGACTGCAAATCGTTGGCCATAGTGGACGCTGTGATAAAGATGTGCATGCATGACGGGAAACTTATTTATCAAGACTTAACATTTATATTAATATTTCTTCAATAAAGAAAACGATACTTTAGTAAAGTAACACAAACATTCAACATTTATTTGTTTAGGATAAACGTTAATTCATTTTTTTACACCACCTGTATTATTAGCATAAATGTAAAGACTATTTCAGATTTCTGTTGTTGAACTCTGAAAAAATCTTAAGTTGCTGTTTTGGTACCAAATTCTCTCCTGTAAACTGCCCTTTAAATGCATGGGAATGTTAAATCGATTGAAATAAAAATTAGGTAGACAATAGGCGAGTTGATATATTGACAACATAGTACATTTATCACCTTTATAAAGATATTAAGGCTAAAAAGCATTTTTCTAGCATTTCCGACAGTACTTTAGTGTTTAGTGTCTCTGCTGTATAAGTAGTCATTTCTCAGTCTGTCTATAACTTGCTGGATATCCAGCTTTGATTGTTGATATTAACTAGAACCACTAGAGATGAATCTGGCATGTGTAAACTGTTCTTAACACAATGCAGCAATGAGATGTTTTTGACTTTATATAGCAGGTTATATTTTCTCCCAAATCATATTCAGGAAAGAACTAAGGTTAAGATTCTGAAATTATACGAATAATCTCATTCTCAAAATTAAGGATTTCCTTTTTAAATGCAGTTGAAAATATTTCACCTTCAAACAGGACGGCGAACAGATGTGCTTCCTCTTCATGAAAAACATTGTTATTATAGATATGTAGATGGTCATGTGTTGCGTTTTAAAGATCGCCAAGACGTTGGAATTCATCCCATTTGTTAAAAGTGTCAATCAATTTTAATCAATTTTATGGATCTTTATCAGCTTTTTCACAATTCTTATTCCACCTGTACTGGGAACGTCGAGTAGTTGGTTTTCAGGATGTTTTACCGATACGTTGTTTTCTAAGAGTCGGGTAGGTGCCAATGTTTGATTACAATTAGCATTTTCAATGTCATCACATGCTATATCAGTTGAACAAAGGTCGACGAAGTTATGCCAGTTACCCGATTTAATTGTCCCTCTGGAAATTCCATTTTCAGCCGATAGTAAGGGTTAAAACGATATTTCAGCACAAACTGGAAAGATATCACTCCACAAACTATCCCCTTGATGTACACCCAACATACACCCTCATGTGGGCAACGTGACCATATACACAGTGAATTGTAACCAACACTGTATATTATGACCGAGTATAAGCGCCGTTAACAATAGAATGCAAACTCTATAAAAACAAGTGAAGGAAATAAAAAACTTTCAACACAAATATTACTGCTCTGTGTAAACACCTATTTGTAGAATGAACAGCGCAAACACGCACATGCTACATGCACAACGGTAAAATGAATGATGTCTAGCGTAAGAGGGGTCGTCTCATGATATTTTCAGTCGCAATCTCACTCGCTCTTGTCACATCCTTCATCGTCAGAATGTGTGTCACTGCTCATGATCACAGCTATATATGGGATTGTTGCATGCTTGTCGCGTGACCATTATCTTGACTCTACTTCGTTGACGATTTTGGTAACGCAGCGCTGCCTTATTTTCATTGTTACTCGACCAAGCGATTCATTTACTAGCATTTCGGCATCCCCCAATTTATACCCGATATCAGTCCTACTAAAGCTTCTAAAGACAGAGGCATGGTTCACTTGTCAGCTACCTCATTTGTCCTGGTCATACATTAAGTAGGTCGACGATCTGGTAATGTGTTAAAGTGGAGTTTTGCAAGATATCCTCCCAGAAGCCCTAATCCGCCTGAGTTTGTTTCCTTTATACCAGTATATTGTAGCTTGTACAAGTAGGTGTCCCAAAATGTTATTGAAGACTTTTCCATATCTATTAACACACACATCACATATTCCCATTCTGCCTGAACTATTTGAGCTTTAGTTTGTAACACATATGTTGATCAATATACGCTTTCTTTCTGCAAATACACTGACATCAGCAGATTATTAGTTCGTGTAATTGCTGGCTCCATCACTCTCGCTAGCTTAGTTGAAGCACGTCTTGGTATCCGATTACGTCCATTGATGCTCATGATGTCAATCACTGGACTCTCCAGATGATTTACACACCAACGTCATGTAGCTGGAATAGTGGTGAATTTTGCGTTAAGCAGCATACAAGCGTTACTTTGTATACATTTGAACTACCTGCTAGTGATGTAGCAGTGAGAGTTATATGTACCATGTTTTAAATCACTGGACAATTCAAATGAAGACCAACTTCAATTTGATAGCTCCCTCATTATTTCATTTATTCAAATCAAGAATGTGTAACTATTTCATTTTACAGGTCTTTGTCTCACACAAAACAAATAGAAAAAAAGAACCGCTCAACAAATACTGTCCGCCTGTAGGTCAGGCATGGAAATAACACTGTGTGAAGGAAATAGTTCATGTGAAGAGCGCTCCTGTCATTGGCAAACAGTCCATCTTGCAGGAGGGACTTCACAGACAGGTTTCGCGCCGTGAGGTATCCTGAAACTACTTGCCCGTCCCAAACGGTCCCTTATCTACAGTTTGCAACCGATGTCATCGATCTAACTGAAAAATCCTTGGCCGGAGCTGATGCCCAGGGCATCTGCAGAGTTTAGTATATGCGTTGGTATAGGGACCACGATCTGCTGATGACAACCCGCAGCACGAATATGGCACGTAACTGTTGCATGGTCAATACTGTTTCTTTGACCGGTTGGTTCCCAGAAAACCTTCTGCTCACAGGTGAGGGGCGGTTGGGTAGCCTAGTGGTCACGCCGAAGACCCGGTTCGATTCCCCACATGGTTACAATGTGTGAAGCCCATTTTTGGTGCCCCCCGCCGTGATATTGCTGGAATATTGCTACAAAGCGGCGTAAAACTAAACTCACTCACTCACAACCAGGTGATAATGGTAAATCTGGCCGACCACTCCCCCTGCACGTGCTACGTAATTCATGACAATTCATTCACAATGTTGTTTCAGAGCTTGCTTTCTTCGGAACTGTCCGACATAAAACTCTTACTTTCATTGAAGACGGTGGTGTATGTAAGTGCTGTTACACCTCAATACAGAATATCCCTTATATTTACACAGTATATGTTCTGTACGGATTCTCGAGTATATACCCATATCCTCCGTCTCACTTCGGGATGCTATCATACTGTTCATTCAGTCACTTACTCAATTGTCTCGACTAACAATATAGTGACTTAACATATGTTATATTTGGGATTACACTTTCTTAGTAAAGTACAGATTCTAATTCTTTTTGGGGGGTTGAGTCCCATCCGGGATTCGAACCCACACCCACAGAGTCAGTAACCTAATCGCCAGCACACAAAGTCACCCGCCTAACCCGCTCAGGCACCGCGACTTCCACAAAATGGTCCCCGCTGTGCCAACATGTTAGTATACTTCTAAGTGCTCTCCATTTAACGAGTCGGGCAGTCATTGAGACACAGAATACACAGAGGTATGTTATCATTGTATGAATACCGTGGCAATAACTGATGTACAAAAGAAAGTACAAACCTGGAGTGTGTGGTGTGGTGTGTACCTTCTTTTGTCCGTCAGTTTAGTTTAGTAACGCACACTCGTATAAGGGTATACTGTTACAGTCCGCCCTCCATCAAAAGCCAATGTTGCCGCCTTACACAACACTACTTTTACAGTAACTTAAACCTGTTTAAAGAGATTAGTCTAATGAAACCATGCAGCAGGAGCTCCACGAAGTGACTGTACACAGCGAATGTCCGGCACACATAGCACATGGTCGTGGACTGCCTTTACACTGTGGACTGATGACATTCTCAGTGCACTACAATACAAAGTCCGAATAGCCGCACATAAGAACAACCCCCTTCTGGTTGGTGATCCAAGACCGCGTGTAGTACTCGCCCTGGAAGAGGAAGTTCAGTTGAGAGCAATTGTGTCGTAAGCGGAGGTGGAATGTAGAATAAAATAGACTAATAGAAACACGTGAATGGTCTATATACAGAACAAATTTAAAGTTACTTCTATATGCGAGTTTGTTTCCAACCTTGCGTAACGTTAGTATAGGACAGCTGAATTTTATAGCGAGGTGGCAGATTTGAATCGTGATAGCTATAGTCTCAAACATAGCTAACATCAAATGTTATGTATCTACTCGTGAAAACTTTCTCACTGATTCTACATACTTTAACTTCCTGCTACAGCTCATACACTGGAATGTGATGCTGACTCGGCACCCGGAACCGGTGTCGGTTCATGAATACAAAACGTCAAAACTTACAAAACATCAACCAATCAATCAATATTTGAAACGTAGATAAATAAAATACCTCACTCGTTCGATAGCAATTTTACGAAACGAGCGAACTTCCTATGGTATCTGACCGCTGACTACGAGTGTAGTACATAGATTATATACGCTTGTTGACATTTCCACACGCTATGTGGGCGGGGTGCCGTTGTCTTACATGTCTTAGATGGTTACCATTTGGGTGAAACATGGTCAACATTCCGCCAACTTACCTTGGGCAGATAGCGGGGAATCTCGCGGTCCTTTATTTCGCTCTTTGGTCCACTCTTTAATGGGCAGGAAATTGTCCTTTTGTCTTGGTCGCTTTCCTCTTCTAGTGTACACAGGTCCCAGTGATTGTCGAACAGGTCGTTGTTGTTATACTTCACATCTAAGTAAAACTCGCCTTCGTCAACATCCTCATCTGCAGGAATGGAGATGGTATAAACATGAACAATCTCCACACAACACCACGTACACTATGGGCAGAAACACATTCAGTGCGTCGATGAGATGTTGGTTAGATAAACAACCAAATAGACGTAGGCCTAATGAAGCCATTGTTATGTATTATGTGAAAAGGTCGTTTATGCACCACCACTCCAGCATTTAAAGAGAGAGAGACACACACACACACACACACACACACACATACGTACTCTGGGTTGAAAAGATGCAAAACATTTAAATTTATTTCCATATTTGAATCTTGACGCGGTCCCGTCGTTCTCGCATAACCCGAGAGGTTACGTTTAGGGATAATTCTTATAAGTAGGGTATATTTATAAAAACAACGACATTATTTTCTGTGAAAGGATGACCAGAACATGTTTTCAGGGCACCCTAGCATATATAGCGAAGGTCGCCATGCATTTAGCCGTTGTGAGTGATACATGGAAGTGAAAGGAAGTTACTGACGTAATGTGTAGTTGATGAATGTTCTGGTTTTCAATCCCCCTGTTTCTTTGTCAGGCATCATTACGACGGCCCCGATTGTCTTGCGTCCTTTGTCGTCTGGTAACAGAAACATAGGCCTGTGTATTCGTTGTCGCATTGCAATGGTAATCACTGTACTAAAGGAAGGGAGTACATTATGGGGACTCATGCAACATATTTCAAGACTTCCCGAATAGCCCAGCTCCAGAAACTGGGTTGTCCACTCGACACTGTAGGACATGATGTTAAGAATCCACTGAATTCTAAGATGCCTAGCGGTTAGAACACTCGAAAAAAAACCCAACATTATCAGACAATAAAGGTATAGTTTTTTGATGACGTAACAATTGAATGACGTTATCCTGTTACTGCGCCATTCTAGTCTGCCCCCTCGTAATCGAACCATTTTACATTACGTCACAATGTAAGCGACGTCACGATGCATGTCAGTTGTCATCGCCTCGTACGGCCTCCTACAGTAATCTACTCCGTTGCATCACGTTTCTTGGTTTGCAGTTGCTTCACGCAGCTAACAACACTGGTGGAAACATTACGTTTATGTTTTACGACGGTTAAAATGTGTCAATTCGACTCACAAATTTTCAGCGGAACGGTAACGTTCGCAATGTTTACATTCCCGCAATGCAATCGTGGAATGTCGCTTGACTACTCAGCTTCATCTGGATGTACTGATCTAAACGTACGTTGGTAGTAGAAATGCGACGTTCATATTGCCCCATATGGTTTACGTTAATGACAGATGTAATTAAAATAATCAAGAGAAGATATTTAATCCGAACGTAAACCGTATAGTGTAATAAAGCACACTTTTGCCCTGAACTATTATAGTTTAAGTACGAGTACATGGTGGGAGAGCGAACTGTATTTCTTAATTATGACGAGAACATGCAGTGTTCTCACATGTTAAACCATTTTCGCTTAAAACAGGACACGTTGCTTGTTAATGAATGCGCGATTGCTATCCCATCTTTTGACCGCTACATGTTTTTTCACCCTGTATTTACTGGCATTCAATTAATGAGTCGGGTGGTGGTATTTAGTAGTGTCGAATCCTGAGTCCGCGTGCATTACCGCTCTTACTGTCTGTTACAGAATCCTCTGGTCCAGACTGCATCTCACTTTGTGGGAGTATTGTCGAGTGAGTGCTGAGCATCAAACACTAACTTTGAAAAAATGAGACTTGTGTGAAGAGCGGGTCCTAAGCGGAGAGGCAGCACATGATTATGATTTCCCCCGAACCCTCGTGATATCAGTGTTTTGTTGGACCCTTTCATATCATTGTCATCACTATCTTGCCCTTCGCAGCTGAACAAGCATCTGTTTGGGTGGATTATCGAGACTGGATATCCTCTTACGTTCACGTTAACATTCAGGGTAAGTGTGAGAGACTAGTTTCGACCTATTGTGTAAGTAGTGTATCGACTTTGTGTATTAGGTACGGCTGCTGAGACAATTGTCTCAATGTAGGTGACTAAACTCATTCTATTTAAAAATGAAGCATACGACATTATGTATGATGACTTCTTGTTTATTGCAAAGAGCGACCCTCCAAAATGCAACCCCCTAAGAGTGGTTTACAAGATTTAACTGTGAATGTGATGACTCCTATATAGGTGAAACCCCCCCGTCCTGCTGATATCCGCATAAAAGAACATACACCCTCTACAGCCAAGGTAGACAGCAAAGCAGTCCTCTCAGATCACCAACAGATTCCCTACCCATCATGTCAGTCAATGATGAGGGTCAAGGAAAAGCCAAGAAACGTTGTGTATACAATAAAGAAGAAGTTGACATCCATAATATTTTGTGTTATACTTGAATACCAACTTCTATATGCCTCTCAAGAACCCCATCATATCACGTTTCACAAATTTGAAGTACTATCAACCAAAAATCACAAAAAGAAAACTTTTGGAAACCATCGAAATCCGCCGCCAGAAAATCTTTGATCAACAGAGACCAGCTATACTGCATACCATCGGCCTACGAAGAATCGATTGAGATGTACAGAGATCAAGTGATGTGTTTTGATTGAGATGTACAGAGATCAAGTGATGTGTTTTGATTGAGATTTACAGAGTTGAAAGAGATTAAGATTTACAGAGTTCTCTGTACATCTCAGTCGGTAATACTATCTCGCTGGCTTCCTGTACATACTATATATTTTGCTCGTACCATATTCTGTCATTGACCTGATGAGGGGGCAAGAAGTAGCCCAGAAACGTCGTGTCGTAAATATTAAAGAAGTAAATCCATACCATACGTTGTAATGTTACCTTCCAACTTCTAAATGCCCATCAAGCATCTCATCCTATTATGTACCACTTGTTATTCAATTACATGCTGTTATTAATGTTAATCTGTTGTTCTGTCATAACATGCCATGTTATCTGCTCTTTGTCACCATTTGGTTGTAGTCACTTTTAGCTTGAAAAAAGGTGTTAGAATCTACATCCTTAAAGATGTATGCTTCATTTTAAGTCACCAATTTCTAGAATGCCGATCAAACAATCATTTTATTTAGGCTTATACACTGTAAAAATGTGGTTAGGATGTTAAAAAAACATACAAGAAAAGTTTAGATCTTACCTTGTTTAAGAGTGTTTAAATGCTAATCGATATACATATTTGGTGCACTCTATCTAAACGCTTTGCAGGTTCGTTAATGAGTGTGTTGTTTGTGTATAACTGACTATCGCACGATAGCACAGTAAACGGTTGATGATCGTGAACGTTTGTCTGAACTATAGATAGACCCCAACGTTTCCATGTTGCCACCGATACACCAATGTCCCCATTGAAACAATATATAGAAAACGTCCCCTTTACCAACTGCTGACAATGAAATTTAACACGTTTAGCTGTTAAACACAATTACATGTTTAGATCCTAAACGCGACGAAACGTTGGACAAGGAAGCTTTATGGTGTAAACAGTGTATCCTGGTATAGTGTATTGTGCGTCTCCTGCTTAGTCGTCGTACCTCCTTCAGCCTCAACTGACATTTAGCGATCGGCCAGACAAGAGGTAAAAATTATGGGCTCATTTCACAAAAACACAACGACGGTCGCAGCGATTTGTGAAAAGGCACCTTGATCTGAAGGTTCCAAATATACTGAGTCAAAAAAGAAACTTCACAAAATGTAATTTGAAAAATAATGAATAATTTTTCTCTGATGATACATCTATGTATCCGAAATGGTATCCCTATCTTTCGACTCTAGAAAAACGTTAGCAAAACCCACTCAAACCCATCCATTCGTCGTGCAAATGACGATAGTGCCAAATCAGGTTTTGCACGTGCAGTCGATCACATGATCTTCGCATCGAAGTTTTCTTCATATGCACGTGTTTGCATTGGCCTCAAGAATTGAAAAAACACTTTTAAACCACAGTTCTAACGGTACTTAAAATGCCACGATTGTCAAATGTGCAACGTGAACGTGCCGTTGGCATGTTGCAAGCGGGAAGATCAGTTATTGACGTCGCAAGAGCAATGGGATGCAGCCGTCGTACTGTGTATGACTTGCGAGGTCGTCTACATCAAACTGGCACCACTTCTGATCGCCCAAGGTCGGGTCGTCCACGTGTGACGTCACGAGCAGAAGACCGTCAAATCGTCCTACGTCACCTACGTGACAGATTTCTGCCGGCTACACGAACCAGGGCTTAGATGTTTAGAGGTCCATTGTTCTCACAGACCATTCGAATTCGGGTGCGGGCTGCCAATCTCCATTCTCGAAGTCCATATCGTGGGCCAATATTGACGCCGTTTCATCAACGTCAACGTCTGCTGTTGGCCCAACGTCACCTCCGATGGACCCAGAGAGACTGGAATCGAGTCGTCTTTAGCGATGAATCCAGGTTTACCCTCAGATTCGCGGACGGCAGGCATAGAGTCTGGAGACGACGTCGTGAACGGTATGCCCAATGTTGTGTACAGGAAGTCGACAGATTCGGGGGCGGAAGTTGCATGGTGTGGGGTGCTTTCTGTGGGAACAACCGTTCCCGACTTCTGGTCATCCGTGGAAACCTCACAGCTGCTGCTTACCGCAACCAGGTGCTCACCCCTGAACTCGTTCCTTTCATTGCGGCTCATGGCCCAGGTCTACAGTTCCAGCATGATAATGCTCGGCCGCATACCGCGATGTTGACACGAAATTTCCTTCAAAACGCTGGAATCAACGTCATGGACTGGCCATCGAGGTCCCCTGACCTTAATCCAATAGAGCACGTTTGGGATGCACTTGGGAGAAGGCTTCGTGGTCTTAGGAACCAACCTCAGAATTTGCAGGAACTTGGCGCTGCCTTGCAAGAGCAATGGCGCAGAATCCCCAACCACGTGTTCACAAGCATCATGCAGTCGATGAGGAGACGGTGTTTGGCGATGGTGAATGCGCGGGGCGGCCATACACGATTTTGATCTGAGAAATTTCGCATTTTTATTCTTGTGACTTGACATTCTGGATACCCATGTTTTGGAACGGCGGTGTAGCCTAATGGAACTGATTATGGCACGGTCGGTGTATCGAGTACATCACACAGATCTCAGCAATAAAATAATAACAATTTAACCATCTTACCATCTCTTGTTCTTTTATAGTGCCCTGAAGAAAGAATGTGAAGTTTCTTTTTTGACTCAGTATAGTTCTCTATATATTTACCCAGTATGTGTTGTCTAGTCCGAGTTGTATCCTATGTGGAGTATGCGTCTATGTGGAGGATCTTTGTGCATGTAATGAATGGTATATCATGACACTGTTGACTTTCGTGTATGCACTTTAATAACAACCGCCTTCGACCGTAAACTGGAAATCACATAACTATCTTGTTGTCATCAGACTAGCCGCTACACGGATCTCGTTGTGAGAGAATACCCAACACTATTAACGTCACCTACAATATGCATAAACATGTACCATCGGGTCAATCCTTTAAGGAGAGGTCCGTGTCACTTCTTCATAAACATGTACCATCGGGTCGATCCTTAGGAGAGGTCCGTGTCACATCTTCATAAACATGTACCATCGGGTCGATCCTTTAAGGAGAGGTCCGTGTCACATCTTCATAAACATGTACCATCGGGTCGATCCTTAGGAGAGGTCCGTGTCACATCTTCATAAACATGTACCATCGGGTCGATCCTTTAAGGAGAGGTCCGTGTCACATCTTCATAAACATGTACCATCGGGTCGATCCTTTAAGGAGAGGTACGTGTCACATCTTCATAAACATGTACCATTGGGTCGATCCTTTAAGGAGAGGTCCGTGTCACATCTTCATAAACATGTACCATCGGGTCGATCCTTTAAGGAGAGGTCCGTGTCACATCTTCATATCGAGTATTTAGGTAGGGTTTTATTTATAATAGTAAAATATTTAAGCTACTTTGAATTCACCTACAAAAATATTGTCAGCTATTTTGACTTCACCTACAAAACTATCCAAGTCTACCGAACAAGATATCGTTTCCATGGTGTTGGAGTATATTAAACTACCGAACAAAACTACATATCGTTTCCATGGTGTGCGAGTATATAAAACTACCGAACAAGACTACATATCGTTTCCATGGTGTTGGAGTTTATAAAACTACCGAACAAGACTACATATCGTTTCCATGGTTTGCGAGTATATAAAACTACCGAACAAAACTACATATCGTTTCCATGGTGTTGGAGTATATAAAACTACCGAACAAGACTACATATCGTTTCCATGGTGTTGGAGTATATAAAACTACCGAACAAGACTACATATCGTTTCCATGGTGTTGGAGTATATAAAACTACCGAACAAGACTACATATCGTTTCCATGGTGTTGGAGTATATAAAACTACCGAACAAGACTACATATCGTTTCCATGGTGTTGGAGTATATAAAACTACCGAACAAAACTACATATCGTTTCCATGGTGTGCGAGTATATAAAACTACCGAACAAGACTACATATCGTTTCCATGGTGTTGGAGTTTATAAAACTACCGAACAAGACTACATATCGTTTCCATGGTGTGCGAGTATATAAAACTACCGAACAAAACTACATATCGTTTCCATGGTGTTGGAGTATATAAAACTACCGAACAAGACTACATATCGTTTCCATGGTGTTGGAGTATATAAAACTACCGAACAAGACTACATATCGTTTCCATGGTGTTGGAGTATATAAAACTACCGAACAAGACTACATATCGTTTCCATGGTGTTGGAGTATATAAAACTACCGAACAAAACTACATATCGTTTCCATGGTGTTGGAGTATATAAAACTACCGAACAAGACTACATATCGTTTCCATGGTGTTGGAGTATATAAAACTACCGAACAAGACTACATATCGTTTCCATGGTGTTGGAGTATATAAAACTACCGAACAAGACTACATATCGTTTCCATGGTGTGCGAGTATATAAAACTACCGAGTAAAAACTACATATCGTTTCCATGGTGTTGGAGTATATAAAACTACCGAACAAGACTACATATCGTTTCCATGGTGTGCGAGTATATAAAACTACCGAACAAGACTACATATTGTTTCCATGGTGTGCGAGTATATAAAACTACCGAACAAGACTACATATCGTTTCCATGGTGTTGGAGTATATAAAACTACCGAACAAGACTACATATCGTTTCCATGGTGTGCGAGTATATAAAACTACCGAACAAGACTACATATCGTTTCCATGGTGTTGGAGTATATAAAACTACCGAACAAGACTACATATCGTTTCCATGGTGTGCGAGTATATAAAACTACCGAACAAAACTACATATCGTTTCCATGGTGTTGGAGTATATAAAACTACCGAACAAGACTACATATCGTTTCCATGGTGTTGGAGTATATAAAACTACCGAACAAGACTACATATCGTTTCCATGGTGTTGGAGTATATAAAACTACCGAACAAGACTACATATCGTTTCCATGGTGTTGGAGTATATAAAACTACCGAACAAGACTACATATCGTTTCCATGGTGTTGGAGTATATAAAACTACCGAACAAAACTACATATCGTTTCCATGGTGTGCGAGTATATAAAACTACCGAACAAGACTACATATCGTTTCCATGGTGTTGGAGTTTATAAAACTACCGAACAAGACTACATATCGTTTCCATGGTGTGCGAGTATATAAAACTACCGAACAAAACTACATATCGTTTCCATGGTGTGCGAGTATATAAAACTACCGAACAAGACTACATATCGTTTCCATGGTGTTGGAGTATATAAAACTACCGAACAAGACTACATATCGTTTCCATGGTGTTGGAGTATATAAAACTACCGAACAAGACTACATATCGTTTCCATGGTGTTGGAGTATATAAAACTACCGAACAAAACTACATATCGTTTCCATGGTGTTGGAGTATATAAAACTACCGAACAAGACTACATATCGTTTCCATGGTGTTGGAGTATATAAAACTACCGAACAAGACTACATATCGTTTCCATGGTACAGTATATAAAACTACCGAACCAGACTACATATCGTGGTGTGCGAGTATATAAAACTACCGAACAAGACTACATATCGTTTCCATGGTGTTGGAGTATATAAAACTACCGAACAAGACTACATATCGTTTCCATGGTGTGCGAGTATATAAAACTACCGAACAAGACTACATATCGTTTCCATGGTGTGCGAGTATATAAAACTACCGAACAAGACTACATATCGTTTCCATGGTGTTGGAGTATATAAAACTACCGAACAAGACTACATATCGTTTCCATGGTGTGCGAGTATATAAAACTACCGAACAAGACTACATATCGTTTCCATGGTGTTGGAGTATATAAAACTACCGAACAAGACTACATATCGTTTCCATGGTGTGCGAGTATATAAAACTACCGAACAAGACTACATATCGTTTCCATGGTGTTGGAGTATATAAAACTACCGAACAAGACGACATATCGTTTCCATGGTGTTGGAGTATATAAAACTACCGAACAAGACTACATATCGTTTCCATGGTGTGCGAGTATATAAAACTACCGAACAAGACTACATATCGTTTCCATGGTGTGCGAGTATATAAAACTACCGAACAAGACTTCATATCGGTTCCATGGTGTTGGAGTATATAAAACTACCGAACAAGACTACATATCGTTTCCATGGTGTGCGAGTATATAAAACTACCGAACAAAACTACATATCGTTTCCATGGTGTGCGAGTATATAAAACTACCGAACAAGACTACATATCGTTTCCATGGTGTGCGAGTATATAAAACTACCGAACAAGACTACATATCGTTTCCATGGTGTTGGAGTATATAAAACTACCAAACAAGACTACATATCGTTTCCATGGTGTGCGAGTATATAAAACTACCGAACAAGACTACATATCGTTTCCATGGTGTTGGAGTATATAAAACTACCGAACAAGACTACATATCGTTTCCATGGTGTGCGAGTATATAAAACTACCGAACAAGACTACATATCGTTTCCATGGTGTGCGAGTATATAAAACTACCGAACAAGACTACATATCGTTTCCATGGTGTGCGAGTATATAAAACTACCGAACAAGACTACATATCGTTTCCATGGTGTGCGAGTATATAAAACTACCGAACAAAACTACACATCGTTTCCATGGTGTTGGAGTATATAAAACTACCGAACAAGACTTCATATCGGTTCCATGGTGTTGGAGTATATAAAACTACCGAACAAGACTACATATCGTTTCCATGGTGTGCGAGTATATAAAACTACCGAACAAGACTACATATCGTTTCCATGGTGTTGGAGTATATAAAACTACCGAACAAGACTACATATCGTTTCCATGGTGTGCGAGTATATAAAACTACCGAACAAGACTACATATCGTTTCCATGGTGTTGGAGTATATAAAACTACCGAACAAGACTTCATATCGGTTCCATGGTGTTGGAGTATATAAAACTACCGAACAAGACTACATATCGTTTCCATGGTGTGCGAGTATATAAAACTACCGAACAAAACTACATATCGTTTCCATGGTCTTGGAGTATATAAAACTACCGAACAAGACTACATATCGTTTCCATGGTGTGCGAGTATATAAAACTACCGAACAAGACTACATATCGTTTCCATGGTGTTGGAGTATATAAAACTACCGAACAAGACTACATATCGTTTCCATGGTGTGCGAGTATATAAAACTACCGAACAAAACTACATATCGTTTCCATGGTGTTGGAGTATATACAACTATCAGTGGTGTAACGACTTACCACAGCCGCGGTCCCACACTTCTCCCACCGATACAAAGTTATTCCGCCGAACAAAGCTTCCCCAACGTCCTGCACTAGAGTCTACTTCCCCATCGGTCAAATCATCTTCATTCATATTGAGCACCGTCTCATTTCTGTTGCTTGGGGCTCTATTGGAAAACGTCCTTTTGCTGTTCATACGCATGAGTTCCTCGAGTGGTGGTCTTTTAAAGTATGTATAATAGATACCCACAATGCAGGTAACAAAGAGGATGGCACTGAAGTAACATATACACCGCCTCCCAACCATCCTGCTCGACCAGGTCTGCCCCGTGCTGTCAGATGACCAGATACCTCTATCCATACACAACACGCTACTTCAAATATCAACTTTCAGCTAAAAGTTTCAATGTGGGACACAGTGAAGGCAGCCAACCCTTGCATCAGTGGCTGCAGCGAGAGAGCCCTTATCACGAAACTGTCACCAGGTCAGATGGGACACGTCACTGCTGATATCGTCCTATCAATGTAGCCCACAATCTTGCTGATTTGAACTTTGCGTCACACACATTGTCATCAATTGTCGCGATAACGATGATGAATGTACAAAATAAGATGTTGATACCGCACACCTAGCCATTGTCAAGTTGTATCTGTATAGTAGCGATTGCACGATAGCGTGGCGACATTGGGGAACTACAGCACAGGGCATACACCTACAATTTGAAGTAACTTCACATCAGTGTGACGTTGCTTCAAGATAAGATATATCTCTATATATTCTTGTTTGAAAGATGAGCTGGAAGTGTTTCTTCTAAGTGTACGACAGGTTTACATGTAAGTATAGGAGGTACGTTTACTAGGTGGGTTTCTGGCCTATTAGAAAGGAATCTGTAGATGACAGGTTAAGAATTGGGCAGGCATACTTAACTGCGGCGTGGTATCTCAGTGAGCTAGCACTATAACACCAGCTTAAGTCTGGGATGGTACAGGCAGCCGCACATACGCATGTACATAGTCATATGAGCGAAATATTCTTAAGTACTGCGTTAAAATCCATTTCACCTCAACATAGCTGCTGTACAACAAGCGTTCGGTCCCGCTTGGCTCGGGCTCTCAAAAGCACCTTAAACCTCACACATGTATCCAGTATTGTATTTATATCTATAGAATGGTATTACATCTACCTAAATATCACTTTGTAATGTGAAGATAACTTGTCCGTTAAAGTGAAGGCCTTTTCCCTCTCCATTCCCAACAATCAATCAAAGCGAATGCCAACGAGAACGTTAATTTTCTCAAATTCTGATAGTCAAAGATACACGATGTGATAGCATCCATCAATATACCGATTATATGACGCCATATGTGACAAAAACATGTTTATATGGTTGCATGTGTGTCGACAATAATCAGTTGTTGCTACTGGCAGCCAGCTCTACGTCAAGAATTTGGCAACTCAATATATGGTAAGAATATCCTTTCAAAATCGTTGAATCGGAAGAAATTTTTTAACTTTCAAAATACCGTCTGCCAAGATTGAACAAAGGCAATATTGTCACAAAGTAGGAATACTTATCGGCGACAGAATATTGACACAACTGAAACGATCAAGCGACTCATTATCCTAACAACACATGTTGTGTTCGAGGCATAGCTATACTTTTGCGAATATTTATCACATTACCGTAATCAGTAGAAAATGGTATTGTCTATTCTTCATATTACCAGAAAATATACATTCAAATCCGTGTAGTTTGCAATTATAGTCTTCGTTCCGTATTTATTTAGCTCCGTAATTTAAGAAATACGCGTAGCCAATGACAACAGCGCCCTCCTAGTACATTATTACATATTCATTTAACTAAGTTACTGTCTTGTTTTGTAAAGCACAAAAATGTAGCACTACAGCATTACATATATTCTAGGTCATGGCTTAACTCCGTATATGTCGAAATTGCACGTTGCCAATAGCAACACCACCGTCGAAATACACTTACCGTAGTCACCCAAATAATTCATGATAAAACAAGCTTAAGTAGTAGTGCTCTAACTAAAACTAGGCCTTCTGTCCCCGTATTTACAACACTTTTATATCTCTCTAATATCACTTCGCGCCGTTTACCGTATTTGCTCAAGGCATGTATTTTGATAACGGAAATTTACTTACACTAGTCATAACTCGTTACCGTAGTTAATGCATTAAGCGCGACATACCGTAATAGTCGTAAATTCATACCGTAGCCAATACATTAAGCGCAACATACCGTAATAATCATAAATTCCTTCCGTAGTTAACGCAATAGGCACTACATACCGTAATTGCCATAAATCGGTACCGTAGTTCACGCATTAGGCGCGACATAACGTAATAGTCATAGATCCGCACAACAGTTAATGAACTAGGCACTACATGCTGTAATTAAACTGTTGGGCGCTCCACTCAGTACTTGTTCTTTGCCATTGTTGTTGATGATTAATTTATCCGTCAGGTTATGTTATTTATCAGTACCGTAGCTACTCAAGGAAATGATGTATTATTTGTATTATGTTTCTGTAAGCAGTTACCGTACATACCCTGTTGTACCACACATTGCTTGTATTACCTGACTTAGACTTAAACTGTGTTAGGATATCATTGATTACTATTTCTATTATTGTATGTCATTATTATGTATGAATTGATGTATTTTGAATGTCATGCAAGACACTTGCTTGAATAAACCCAGGAACTCACAGCTCTGTCTCCTTTCTTGTTTCAAGGCTCGCTCCCTATAGCTAATTCCCCAAATCGAGGCCTAACAGCCCCTTTAGCCCACCTAGCGCTAAAGGTCGTCCTAACGGACCCCATCAAGCTGTCTTAATTGGTGGAGACGTTCGATCCTCGATGCCTGGAGCCAACCCTGAAAACTACAAGTTGAGACTGCGCAGTTTCCAGGAGAAGTTCCAAACACCTAAGCCCCCAACACCATCTCCACAGCCCAATACAACAACACTATGTCAGACGACACCATCACCCACTTTATCAACGGATGAGACAAGGTCAGACATCACCTTACAGACCCTTGACAGTTCGCCTCAATGCACCCAGCAACATCCCACAACAAAGGCGCAAGTACACCTTCCAAAATACAATGGACAACAGGATGCTGAAAGTTTGTGGGCAGATTTTGCCAACTTTAACATCCTCCATGGACATTCAGACTACATTTCCTATAGAATTCTGCCATTCTACTTGGACGCAGTCACTGAAGGCAGCCTTCAAACAACGTTTTCGGCGTTCCTTTGACGTGGGTCTTCTACACATGGCACAGAAGGAGCAGGAAACGACAGAAGACTACATGACCAGGGTGCAATCATCCACGTTGCACTCCACATTGCCACAATCTGTGATAGTAGCTATTGCAATCAATGGGCTACTCCCACAGATTAAGCAGTGGGTGTACATGAAGGAACCAGCAACCCTGGACGAGGTTCGCCACCATGCACAGCTGGCTGCACAGTCGCAGGTCCCCAGCACAGCAGAGGTCAGCCTGGTCCAACAAGTTGAACAATTAACAAACTTGGTGGCCATGCTGATCAAAACAAACAGGGCCTGTGCTGTACAGTCAGCAACTCCTTCAACTGGTCTACAGCAGCAAGAACACCACCACAGACAACAGACACCCTTCCCAGCAACAGTACCAACCACCACAGCAACAGCCGCAGTACCAACCACCACCACAGCAACAGCAGCCGTACCAACCACCACCACCATCACCATCACCACAGCAACAGCAGCCGTACCAACCACCGCCATCACCACAGCAACAGCAGCAGTACCAACCACCACCACAGCAACAGCAGCCGTACCAACCACCACAACCATCACCGCCACAACAACAGCAGTATCCAACCCCACTTCATCAACCATACAGCTCAGCACAGCAACACCCACCACCCAGCCCCAGCAGCCGACTATCGACTCCACAGCATCTTCAAGGCAGATGTCGCAGATGTGGTGAGTTTTTTCGGTTCCCTCACAAATTGCCCTCATAGAAACACAATCTGCAGCTACTGTGGTATAACTGGTCACCATACTAAAGTTTGCATGCGTGCATATTGTGCTCAAGGCAGGCAGTCACAAAAAGTGTGCACGCCTGATTCTCAACATTCTGAGGTCAGGCAAGAGTAAGATTTTGTATCTCTTGTGGCACCCTTGACAAAGAACACTGTTCATGTCAAGGTGAAACAAGTTAGAACTATAGCTCTTGTTGACACAGGTGCCTCAGTTAGCTGTGTCAGCATGGGCTACTTACGTAAGATAGGTATCAAACCAAGAAATACGCCGCCGCCGAAATCAGAAAGGCGAAAGGCGTGAAAAAAGATGTTGTGAAAAAACACATCAAGCACGTCATATTCAAGGAAGCCCTGTTCAAGAATAAAACGTTCAAACACCAGATGAATATGCTGAGAAGCGACGGACACAAGATCGACGGACACAAGATATACGGACTGAGAATCCACAAGACGTCGCTGTCTCCCATGGACACGAAACGATGGATCGCAATCGACGAAGTCACCACTTACGCGTACGGACACACGCACATATTAAATAAGTAACACGCAGGCAATGCATACATAATGGAGAAAATGTATTACAGCCCGCGCGGGTACTGGAAAGGCGCGGACGCCATCCCGAAACTCGCAAATGCAGCTCGAGTTTCTGAAGAGAAAGCCAAAGCCTGGCTAAAAAAACAAGCCATCTGGCAAGTCTACCTACCGGCACCTCGGTACATCCCGAGAAGAAAATTCGACATTTCAACGCCGAATCGCGTGCACCAAGCCGACCTCCTGTTTCTCCCTCACGACAGGCTGAGACCCAAAACCTACAAGTACGCCCTGATAGTCGTCGACGTCGCCAGTCGCTACAAGGAAGCCAAACCGTTGACGACCAAAAATTCGAACGAAGTCGCAAAAGCCTTAGAACGCATCTACAAACGCAGTCGCTTGACATGGCCAACCGTATTGCAAATCGATCCCGGATGCGAGTTCATGGGAGCCGTGTCGCAGCTGCTGGCCAAATACAAAGTCCAAGTGAGACGAGGTATAGCGGGAGCTCACTGTAGCCAAGCCATCGTGGAGAGATTCAATCGCACCTTAGCCGAACGCCTGTTCTCACACCAAGGATTTAATGGATCCCGGAAACAGAAACACGGAATGGGTCGAATGCTTACCGCGAGTGGTGGATGCCATCAACAACGAAGTCACCAGACTCGTGGGCAAGAGACCCGTCGAAGCCATCAAAATGAAATCTGTTAACCAAATCGGCAGCAGCTCGTCGCGATAAAACGGAGAAAACATTACTGGACCTAGTCAGCGTTAGGAGGGAGGTTTTGCATGCAACTCAGTAGTAGCATACACAATGGTGGAACTGCGATAGGGACTTACCAAAGGCTTAATTTTAAAAAATTAAGCCTTTGGTGAGGACCTGTCGCAGTTCCACCAT